TTTTTTCTGAAGAAGGGTCTCGGCCCGAAACGTCAGCCTTCCTGCTCCTCTGATGCTGCTTGGCCTGCTGTGTTCATCCAGCTGTACACCTTGTTATCTCTGTAATTACAGTGTGACGTGTTTATGTACACTATGCAACTGTAAATGCAGAAAGGTAAAGTGACAAAGATGTTACAATGGGAGGGAAGTGCTTACACTTTTTGTTGTTGTAGATAGTTCAGATCGAATTTACATTTGAATTTCTTCTGACGAAGCATTGCCTTTAATTCTCTCTCATGTTCTTTTCTGAAAATTACGAGCCGCCACTCTCGATCTATTGCAAACTGTAGGCCAAAGTAAGATTACAGTTAGGTAGGAATAGTTTGCTTGACCACAAAACAGAGAGATAACCCTTTTGGGCATCAGGGAGGAAAGTAGAAGTGAGACTCTAACCAGATCAGCCATGAACTTATTAAATATTTGAATACTTTATACGAACATACTAAGGGAAGTAAGTCCTAAAGAAAAAAAAAATTAGCGACATTTAGAATGTTGTACCAGGGTTCTGCCATTTTATCATGTCTTAAGTTTGTATTTTTGAGTCAGTTTTAAAGTGATCCTTCCATTGCTTTTATTTTGAGAAAATTGTTATTTTATTGTACCAGGTCCTACTTGGGCAACATCATGTTGTCATATTATTTGGTATGTTTAGCACATATGACTGTATCATACTGGGTGTGCAAAATAACCTCTGCTGAATTATCCAGCTCAGTGCTAACGTTTTACTATTCAGTTGCTACCTGGGTTTTCAGAGATGCTTTCTGTTTAATGTTCATACTTGTTTTAGCATTGTACATCTTACAGTTGCAGGTAGGGCAGAAATATTGTAGTGTTAGTGTTCAGATTTAATGTTCTGGGAAAACATGAAAGTGCTTCCATCTTGGTGTTATCAAGGAAATCTCAGAGAGCCTATAGTTTAAGTAAATTATTCCAGCTGTGCTCATCTTTCATGATGCTGAGATACTTATAATTACTGTGCGTTTATTACCTTTGGTTGCTAAGGACCTGCATCTGAATGTCGCACTGGATGTATCTTTATCTTATTCTTGCTTTTTCTAAATTGGCTCAGACTTTTTGATGCAGTAGTTTTAGTAATGTGTGTTCCTTAATTTGCCTTGTATGCCATTTGACGTGTCAAGCTCGTCTAGCCACTTAACATGATCATGGTGGTAGAACAGTATAACACAGAACAGACTCTTCAGCCCATGCCTTCGCTAACCATGATGCCATTCTAAACTAATTCCATCTGCCTTAACATAGTCCATTACCCTTTATTCCCTGCATGTTCATGTGTCTGCCTAAATGGCTCTTAAACAATTCCATCTGCTTCTACCACCTCCCCTGTCTTTAATTTTTTCCCTGTCCTTCCTAAAAGTCAAATATCCTTAAATATTCAGTTCTCGGTCTTGGATCTTTCTGTAGCCGTGTTGATTTAATGACAACTATATCAATCCTGCCAACCCATCTCTTGTGCCTTTTAATCATCTATCTAGTTGCAAATAGTTGGATTGATCTTAAATTTGTATTTTTCACAATATTCTGTATTCTTGCTTCGTTGATATTTGCCTTCCTTATAATTTTACTTGTTACTTTTCTACTTCCTGTTAACAGCTTTACTTCCTTTCAGTTTAAGCTACCTGTCTTCAGGTTCCCAGCCCCTTGACAATCTGGTTTAAACTCTCCTGAACAGCACTAGCAAATCTCTGTGTGAGGATGGGTCCCAGTTCTATGAAGATACGGCAGAGCAAGTTGTTTGTGTGGACTGTGTGATCATTGACCTCAACTGTATTTTCTGGCACCATAGTCTTCTGATCTGTTGATCCCATAGTGCCAAAAAATGCTATTGCTCTCTTTCTTAATATACTCAATGATTGAGTGTCCACAACCTGTAGAAACAAAAACTGAAGTTTCACAACCTGCTGAGTGTAGAGGCGTATCCTTATCACAGTCCTAATTCATCTTCCCTTCTGAGACTGTGGACCCTATTTTAAACTCTTCAGCCAACTGAAACATCCTTCCAGTATCTACTCCATGAAGTCCCTCAAGAATTTTATGTTTAAATCATAGTGAGTTTCTGTCCCTTTTGGCACTTTGTTACCCATAAACTAAGTTAACATGACAGCTTTGTATAGCCAGTATATGGTGATATTCTTTGGTTTTTTTTTTACTGCTTATGTAACTGGCTGAATATAGACACTTGTTCTCAGTCATGAAAGATCAATGAATGTTAAGCCATGAGACTTGGTTGAAACTTTTCTGATATTCCTTACAAATTGAGACATGAATGAGAATAGTGAGTGGAAGGGTAACAGGAGAGTTTGGAAAGGGCAAAAATACTTGATGTTTGGAAAAAAAAACATGTACAGCTAAAATAGAGACAGGTGGACAAAATGTTTGACTGTTCATCTGATATTCAAGCTGAGCCTGCAACTGAACCCTCAGACCATATGAAATATTGACAACTGTGTGCTTATTGGATAGCATGAAAATTATGTTCTCAACACCTGGCAGTTCTTTGACGTTATACCAAACTTTCTCCTGAATGCAACTTCCAGTATACGAATTTCCGTTATCAATGGAAGTTTTATTAGGAAAAAAAACCTTGTGATGCCTCCTTATATAGCCTGTAGTAAATTCCCTTTATGGTATAAATCTACCCTAAAGCTCATAATAACGAAGTTACCTTATGTTGGTTGTGCTGTGTGTAATTCCTGTGCCATACGTGGCAAGACTGGAATGTAGCTGCGTTGACTAATGTCCATCGTACCTCTGAGTGATAGGTGCGAAGGAGTGGCCCCGACTTCACTGATAACTATATTGTTTAACTAATTTAAAAAAAAGGAATGTTTCATTGATTTAACGTGATATTACATTTTAACAAAATGGCATTTAAAACTGGCAGAATTATAGATTCTAAATGAGCTGCGACTGGGTAATAGCAAAAGACTGAACAAAGCAAAGAATTTAGCATCTAACCCTTTAATTATGGAATAAATTGAAGCTTAATTGTGGGATGTTTTTCAGCGAAGTGTGCTTTTTAAGTAGCATGTGGATGATAGGTTTTTGCTCTGCTTTTTGACAGCTGTCCTCCTGTTTTGTGAAACAACCTGAAATGGGATCTTTATTAGTCACTGTCTGTCCTTCACTATTTGTGAATTGGTATAAGAAGTATTACTTGCTGAAATGACCTAAAGAGATTCTAAGAAAAATAAAATACCGTGGATGCTGAAAATCTGAAATAAACAGAGTGCAGAAGAAACTCAGCGGGTCTAGAAGCATCTGTGGAAAAAGAAGCAGAGTTAACATTTCAAGTCTGGAACTGAAGGGATTGAAGTTTGTTTGGTAATTTGAAGACTTCTAATTTTTTTTTTGTATTTAACTAGGAGCCAACAGTGAAGAAATAAATAAGCACTGGGAATGGCTAGAACATAATGTGATGGCAATACTTCCCGTATTTGATAGTAATGAAGATATCACTAGCTTTGTTCAGGGAAAAATACGGGTAAGAATACACAATTTTTTTTCCCAGATTAGGACGTTGTCTTTTCTGTCAGCTTTCTGATGGTTTCTATCAGTTTTGATTCAGGTTTTGTGTTCAGTTTTATTGGCCGTGCAGTAGAGTTGATGTGGACGGTGTAATATTGTAGAAGAATAAATCCCGTTGTACTGTCTCTGTTAAAAAGTAACGAAATGTTACTAAATGCATCGATTTGATGACTATTTTAATATCTGACATTGTTTGAACAGATGTGTCCTACTTAGTCCTATTAAAGCACAGAAGGAGACAACAACCCATTGAGGCTGTGTCAGTTCTTTGAAAGGATTCATCAGTCCCGTTCCTCTACTTTTTCCCACGTTGTTGCAATTGTTTCTTCAAAGTAATTAACCAATTCACAATTGAGAGCTACCATTCACTGTCCCGTCAAGCAATGCATTCTAAATGCCAAACACTGTTTATGTAAAGCTGTTCATGCTAGTCCTCTTGTTTTCTTACTACAGTGCTTACACTATTTATTGCTCCTTTTGACAGTTGGCAAGTTTCTGTCCAAAATCAAGAGGGGTTTTCATTGAGAATCTAAACCCCTAACAAGTGCCATTTTGGCTTTTGTTGCAAAAAAGGTGAACAAGCTCTGCTTGTCCAGTCTGTCCACGTAATTTACAAGATTATTATGGTGCAGTTTCTGGAGGCCATTTAGCCCATTTTGCCTGCATTGACTCTATTATCTAGTGCTAATGTCCTGCCTTTACCCCATATCCCATCACACCATTTCTATCTAAATAACCATCCAATGCCCTCTTGAATGTCTCAATTGAATCTGCCTCCAATACTTTTTCAGTGGGTATATTCAATACCCTAACAACTTGCTGTGTGAAAGGTTTTCTGACATCAGCTCTTGCTTCATTTGTACATCACTTTAAATCTCTGCCCTCTCATTCTTGTTTTTTCTTCACAAGCAGAAACAGCCTCACCAAATATACTCAGTCCAGTCCACTCATGATTTTAAAAACTTCAATCAGATCTCCTGTCAGCTGCCTTTTCTCGAGAGAATAGTACCAACTTCTTCAATCTATCCTCATAATTGAAGTTTCCATTGACTGTTACTCTCTGTTTTCTATACTTAGCCAAGTTAGCTCTGTCCCTTTTGTACCACGACCTGCAACTTTTCTGACGAGGCTGTTGTGAGGCACTGTATAAATGCCTTCTGTAAATCCATGTATACACATCAAACGTATTATCCTCATCAACACTTTCTGTTAGCTCTTTGAAAAACTCCAACGGGTTGGTTGCATGTGATGTTCCCCCTTCAGAAATCCATGCTAACCCTTCCCAATCAACCCACCTTTTCTATGTGACTACTGGTTCTATCTTGAATGATTGAGTCCAAATGTTTCCCTGCTAAAAAATTATATTAACTGGTTTGTAATTGCGAGGATTATCCTTACAAAGCCATAATGTTGGCAATTCTCCAGTCTTTAGGCACATTCCCAGGATCCAAGGAAGACTGAAATATTATGGCCACATTATTAATTGCAGTTCCTCATCCCTGCATCTGTTCTGGTAATTTTCTTATGTAGCATCTTCAAAGCCCTCACATCCTCTTCAAAGTGCAATTCACAGAATTGAGCGTGATATTTCACTCAGGGTGATTCTAGTCTTTTATATAGGTATAGAGTAACTTCTTGGTCTCTGTTCATAAAGCCCAGGATCTCATAGGCTGTCAATTTTTTAATAAAGCATATCTTGTCAACTTCAAATATTTCTGCAGAAGTATTCCCAATTCTCTGTTCTTACATCGTCCCTCCACCCCTTAAAATTGTACTATTTTGTATGTATTGGCTGTACTCATTTTTCCTATCAAAATGTATCAGCTCACACTCCTCTGCATCGAATTTTATCTGCCGTATCCTCCCAATCTGTTGGCCTAACTTGAAATATATCTGTGACTTCCTTAGTATTTACTACACCCCCAAATTGTACATCACCTACATGTTTTGTAACTGTGCTCTGTACATTCGAGTAATTACCTAAAACACAGCACTGGTACTGGTCTTGGTACTTGGCAACTCCTTAGTATACTTAAATGAAGCAACTTTAATTCTGGAGATTTGAAACAAGCACAGAAATGGCTGGAGAAACTCAGCAGATCTAGTAGCATCTGTGAAGAGAAAATAGTTAATATTTTGAGTCCAATGACCCTTCAGGACTCCACTCTATACTTCCCTCTTGTCTGAAAAATAGCCGTTCATTCCAAATTTTTGTTTTCTATCTCTTATCTAATGCTGCTATTTGATCACTTTGGACAATCTGGCCACACGGTGGCTCAGTGGTTAGCACTGCTGCCTCACAGCGCCAGGGACCTGGGTTCAATTCCACCCTTGGGCGACTGTCGGTGTGGAGTTTACACGTTCTCCCCGTGTCTGCGTGGGTTTCCTCCAGGTGCTCCGGTTTCCTCCCACAGCCCAAAGATGTGCAGGCTAGGTGGATTGGCCATGCTAAATTGCCCGTAGTGTTCAGGAATGTGTAGATTAGGTGGGGGTATAGGGGGATGCGTCTGGATGGGATTCTCTGAGGGTCGGTGTGGGCTTATTGGGCCGAAGGGCCTGTTTCCGCACTGTAGGGATTCTATGATTCAGACTTTTATTCCTTAAAAATCTGCTGGATGAAATTTAATAACATTTTTCAGCCATGACATTGAATTGTGCAGTTCCATGAGTGTACGCGGAATCGGCTAAATTGTTTTTCAACAATTGTATGGTGACAGTACTCTTCTTTGTCATTTTTAATCCATTTTCTTAAAGTTATAAGTTAAAGTTAATATCATTCTGCAGCACTTTTTTTTTGCAAAAAGCACAACGTACTTTATAATTAGATTTACATTTCTCTTCTAACTGAGACTGATTTGTGAATTATTTTGAAGAGCTAATTTTATGAAAACTGTCCACATTTATTGATTAAACTTGCTCTTGGGCTAGTTCTGTTAAACTGCAATGAAAATGCATTTTAGGATGTAAGAAGTATGATCTTGTATGTTATGCACTTAAAGACATCCCCATTGCTTCCTGTCTAAGGGTCTAATAGCAGAAGAGTCTCAAAGTGCATCAATAAAGGAGGAAGATGACCCTGAAAAGTTCCGTGAGGCCCTTTTGAAGTTTGATAAGTGGTTTGGCCTGCCTGAGCAAGAGAAGCTGGTGACCTACTATTCCTGCAATTACTGGAGTGGGCGGGTGCCTTGCCAAGGCTGGCTGTATCTAAGCACTAACTTTCTCAGCTTCTATTCCTTTTTTCTCGGCAAAGAAGGTGAGTCTCTGTTATGCCTATCCATCTCTTAATCGAACCTAATGTCCTTAAATAATTTTGCACAATTTCACATTATCATTTGTCTATCAGGATTTGTGACAAAAAAATCCTATTGTCACCATGTCTAAAAGCACAGTCTGCGATGTGCCAATGTCCAATTTGGAGTCAGATTTGAACGCCTACCTGTTACAGTGTGCTTTCTGCCCTGCTCACTGTACGCTCAAAAGGAAGAAACTGATTGAAAGGTGAACGAAATTTGCCTCCACTGAATTTCTCCAACTGGAGAGCTTATTCCCACTAGTTAAGTTCCTTTCAGTTGCCGACAGATTCATTTGTCGAGCCTGCAATGTTTCTCATATAGTGTTCACGGGATGTGGGTGTCAGTGTCAAGACCAACGTTTATTACCTCTTAAGAGGTTGGTGGTACATCATTGCCTTTAGCTGTAGCAGTCCATGTAGTGAGTGTATTTTTACATTGCAGTTAGGTAAGTACTTCCTGGATTTTGACTAAGTTGGTTGAATTATGTTGATCTATTTTCAAGTTAGAATGATCTGTGCCTTGGAGGAAAGAGGTTGAGGATTTAAGGTACCAGAGTTCTATATCCTTTGTCACATTTTTATATTCTAAAACTTGCTTACTTTGTAGCAAATGGCAGAATTATAAATGAACCTTTGTAATCTGTGTAAGAGCTACTGATGTATTAGGGCTGCTTGCCACAGATTTTGTCCATTTGATTAAAAAATATTTTTATCTACCCATCATTATTGTTTTTAAAAAAAATGTACCATGACACAGTCTTCCAATATCTTAGGAGTGATCAAATGCTTATTTATAAGCTGACTTGTGATTCAGAGTTTATTCAGCGTGTAGAAGCCAGAAACCTTGTTGTCTACAGATATGTGATGAGTTGACTGTGAGCCAGATGCTTTTTGTTAGAAGTCATGTTAAGAGTTCTAAGCAATGTGTATATGTGTCTGCTATTTTTCAGTGTGAAGGGAGATCATTTATTAACAAACTAATGAAGACAGCAAATTGAGTTGTGTTATCAGAAATGTGATCTTTTCATAAGAAAGAGTTTGTTTCTCTGCTGGGCTTCATCCCTTAGGGAGATAAATTTCTATGTTGAGATTACAGATAATCCTCAGAGTTTCTATGGGATTGTAGTTCATTTCTGTTTTGTGACGGCTTCCATGTTGCTGTAGTATCTTATGTTGATGTTCCTGGACATAGGAATATTTTAACTGATGCAATACTCTGATATAAATAATTCCGAGATTGAAGTTTTATTTTCTGTAAGTAGTATTTATTGATGGCTGTGTCAGAATTTAGTTTAAATACAACTTTACCTGTGCATATTAAATCCTTATGGCATTATAAGACAAGGCATGACATTTGAGGTATTAAGTCAGAGGACCAAAAGCTTGGTCAAAAAGGTTGGTTTTAAGGAGTGGATTCAAAGAGTAAAGCTAGATAGAGATGTTTGAGGATGGTATCCTAGAAGTTGGGGCCTAGGCTTGTGAAGATGTAGCCATCAATGATGGAGCAATTGTAATCTGAGATACACAAAGGGCGAGAATTAGGCAAGACCAGATATCTTGCATGGTTATAGATCTCAAGATGATGATAGAGATAGAGAGGGACAAAACCACAGAGGCACCGTTCTGTCTAAGCTATGCAGCAGCTCGGATGTTCCATGCACGCCGATTGGTTTGCTGCTCATTAGTTTTTGCAGCTGAGAAGAAATAACTGAGAAGAATGTGAATATGGGGAAAGGAAATTTTCAAGCCAAGGCATTACTTGACTGAATGCTAAGGGTTACTGAGCATAGAGAGGACAGGTGAATGGGACTCAGTGAGTTAAGACATGATCTCACGTTTAAGGAGAAAGGAATGTGGGCAGCCACACAAGATTGTGCTGGAATAATCAAATCTGATAGTGACAAAAGCATAAATGAAATTTGTGAATATATCATTGGCAATCTGAGGCGAGAACTGCCACATTGCATCTGCTTAACCTCCAGAATTTCCTGTCTAAATGTCTTCAACTCTCTCTCCTTTAAATCACAGCTTAAGATTTACATCTTCAACCAAACTTTTCATTTTTTGTCATTATAACTCTGTGACATTAGATTGGAGAATTGTTCCTTGTGAAAGACCAAGTAGATTAGGCTGATATTCTCTTGGGTTTAAAAGAAGGCTAGGAGGAGATCTGATAGAGGTTTTCAAAATCATGAGAGAGCTTGATAGAGTACATAAAAAGGAAGTGTTAAGTGAAACAAATCCCTGTACTCGCCTTATAATGTCTCGGATCATGTCTTCAAGATCCTTACAGGGAAGGGTGAGCAACCAGCAGTCATGGTACACATCAGTACCAATGACATAGGTAGAAAAAGGACTGAGAATGTGAAAAACGAGTACAGGGAGTTAGGTTGGAAGCTGAAGTCCAGGACAAACAGGGTAGTTATCTCTGGATTACTACCAGTGCCATGTGATAACGAGGTAAGAAATAGGGAGAGAGTGCAGCTAAACACGTGGCTACAGGGCTGGTGTAGGAGGGAGGGCTTCCATTATGTGGATAATTGGAGCACATTCTGGGGAAGGTGGGACCTGTACAGTAAGGACGGGTTGCACCTGAACCAGAAGGGCACAAATATTCTGGGAGGGAGGTTTGCGAGAGCTGTACGGGATGGTTTAAACTAGTTTGGCAGGGGGTAGGGAACCGGATTTATAATTCAGAGGATGAGGTATTCGGCCTTCCAACAGACACAACAGGGAGTGAGGTGGTTTATAAAGAAATGCGGTCGATGGAGCGTAATTGCGGACACCGAGATGGTTTGAGGTGTGTATACTTCAATGCCAGAAGTATCAGAAATAAAGCGGATGAACTCAGAGCATGGGTCGGTACTTGGAACTATGATGTTGTGGCCATTACAGAAACTTGGGTAACTCGGGGAGGAATGGTTGTTATAACTTCCGGGATTTAGCTGCTTTAAAAGAAATAGGGAGGGTGGAAAAAGAGGTGGGGGTGTGGCGTTGCTAGTCAGGGTGAGTATAGCAGCTACTGAAAGACAGTTCAAGAATGATATGTCGACACAGTCAGTTTGGGTTGAGGTCAGGAACAAGAAAGGAGCAGTCACTTTGTTGGGGGTTTTTTACAGACCTCCTAATAGTTGCAGAGAAGTAGAGGAGCGGATTGGGAGGCAGATACTAGAAAGGTGCAGAAGTCATAGGTTTGTAGTCATGGGTGACTTCAACTTTCCAAATATTGATTGGAAACATTTTAGTTGTAATAGTTTAGATGAGCAGATTTTGTCCAGTGCGTTCTGGAAGGATTCCTGACACAGTATGTAGATAGACCAACACGAGGAGAGGCCACTTTGGATTTGGTGCTTGGCAACGAACCGGGCCAAGTGTTAGATCTGTTGGAAGGACAGCATTTTGGCGGTAGCGATCATAACTCTGTTTCTTTCACAATAGTCATGGATAAGGATAGGTACAGGGTTAAAGTTTACAACTGGGGGAAGGATAATTACAATTCAGTTAGGCAAGAACTGGGTAACATAAATTGGGAACAGATGCTGTCAGGGAAGAGCACCACAGAAATGTGGAGATTGTTTAAGGAATGCACGCTTCATGTGCTCGCTATGTTTGTCCCTAGCAGGCAGAGAAGATGCAGTCGAGTGAGGGAGCCATGCTTCTCGAGAGAGGTCGAACGACTGATTAAGAGGAAGAAGGAGGCTTATGTAAGGTTTAGGAAAAGAGGAACGGAAAAGGCTGTAGAGGGATACAAGTTAGCCAGGAAGGAGCTGAAGGAAGGGCTTAGGAGAGCTATAAGGGGGCATGAGAACACCTTGGCAGATAGGATCAAGGAAAACTCCAAGGCTTTTTACACGTATATGCAGAACAAGAGAATGACCAGAGAAAGGGTAGGGCCGATCAAAGATTGAAAAGGGAATTTGTGCACAGAGCCTAAAGAGATAGGAGAGGTCCTTAATGAATACTTTTCTTCAGTATTCACAACTGAGAGGGACCTAGTTGTAGAGGAGGATGTTGTGAAACAGGCAGGTAAGCTAGAGGAGGTTGATGTTAGTAAAGAAGATGTGCTAGGAATTGTGAGGAAGTTGAAGATAGATAAGTCCCCCAGGCCTGATGGGATTTATCCAAGGATTCTCTGGGAAGCGAGGGGCGAGATCCCAGGGCCTTTGGCGATGATCTTTTCGTCCTCACTGTCCATGGGTATAGTGCCGGAAGATTGGAAAGAGGCAAACATCATTCCCTTGTTCAAAAAAGGGAACAGGGATAACCCCGGAAATTACAGGCCAGTTAGTCTTGCGTCAGTGGTGGGCAAATTATTGGAAAGGGCTCTGAGAGACAGGATTTATGATCACTTGGAACGGCACAGTTTGATTCATGATAGTCAGCATGGATTTGTGAGGGGTAGATCATGCCTCACAAACCTTATTGAATTCTTTGAAGAGGTGACCAAACACGTGGATGAAGGTGGAGCAGTGGATGTGGTATACATGGATTTAAGTAAGGCGTTTGATAAGGTTCCCCATGGTAGGCTCATGCAGAAGGTAAGGAGGCATGGGATAGGGGGAAATGTGGCAGATTGAATTCAGAATTGGCTGACCCTTAGAAGACAAAGGATGGTAGTGGACGGAAAATATTCAACATGGTGCTCAGTTACGAGTGGTGTACCACAAGGATCTGTTCTGGGTCCTCTTCTATTTGTGATTTTTGTAAATGATTTGGATGAAGGAGTGGAAGGGTGGATTAGCAAGTTCGTGGATGATACGAAGGTGGGTCACGTTGTGGACAGTGCGGAGGGCTGTTCTAGGTTACAAAGGGACATTGATAGAATGCAGAGCTGGGCTGAGAAGTGGCAGATGGAGTTTAACCCTGAAAAGTGTGAGGTGATTCATTTTGGAAGGACAAACTTGAAAGCAGAATACAGGGTTAACGGAAAGATTCTTGGCAGTGTGGAGGAGCAGAGGGATCTTGGGGTTCATGTTCACAGTTCCCTGAGAGCTGCCACCCAGGTGGATAGAGTTGTTAAGAAGGCATATGGTGTGTTAGCTTTCATTAATGGAGGGATCGAGTGCAAGAGCCGTGAAGTTATGCTCCATCTATACAAAAGCCTGGTTCAGCCACATCTGGAGTATTGTGTCCAGTTCTGGTCACCTCATTACAGGAAAGATGTAGAAGCGTTAGAAAAGGTGCAGAGGAGATTTACCAGGATGTTGCCTGGAATAGAGGGAAGATCTTACGAGGAAAGGTTGAGAGAGCTAGAGCTTTTCTCTTTAGAACAACGAAGGATGAGAGGTGACTTGATAGAGGTGTACAAAATGATCAGAGTTATAGATAGAGTCGACAGCCAGAGACTTTTTCCTAGGGTGGAGTTAGCTTTTACAAGGGGACATAGTTTTGAAGTGAAAGGAGGTAGATATTGGGGCGACGTCAGAGGTAGGCTCTTTACTCAGAGTGGTAGGGGTGTGGAATGCATTGCCGGAGAGGGTAGTGGAGTCGGCCTCATTAGGGCATTTAAGCGGCTATTAGGTAGGCATATGGATGATAGTATAAGGTAACGTTGGCGGTTAGGTAGAACTTAGGTTTCGTGTAAAATTTCGGCACAACATCGTGGGCCGAAGGGCCTGTACTGTGCTGTACTGTTCTATGTTCAATGTTCTATAATCAACAAGTAACAATTTATTTGTCTAACTCTAACCGTAATCAAATTAACAGAACTCCTAACAAACCAACCAATTCCCCCTTCACTACTAACTATTCCCAAATAAATAAAATTCTACGGTATGCTGTTCCAATAACCACCAATCCCAATTATATAAACGAAAGTAATAAGAAAATGAATTAACACTTAGTCTATGAAAAGTACAGCCAGGATGAGACTTCCAGAATGCTCCACACCATCTCCGCTGATCCTCCATCAGGAACACCTTTCTCCATTGAATTCTTGTATCAGGAATTTTAGCTAAGAGTGCTGTTGTACCTTTAGATAGTTTTCTGAGAGCTTAGAGAATTCTGAGAGAGCCAGTGATTCTTTCTTTTATAGCTGAGAGCTGTTCTCTTGGCAGATGACAGTTGACTCTGTCACCAATTTTCAAATCCCTGTTCTTTTATACCCTTGATGACCTATTAATTTCTTACAATACACTTGGCCCTAGTTTCAAAACCAGCAGATTTGCATTTAATTGGGTTTTGGTATCTAGGACCTGATTTAAATTAATTGGCTAAATTCAAAAACCTGTTGTCTTGGTAAAAATGCTGCTTTGCCTGCGACCAGTGTAGCCTTTTGATAGCGTTTCAATTTCAAGAACTCTGTGCATCTGCTGCTGCCTGCAGATATTTTTCTTTTGTCTCCAAGCCTAAAAAACACATTATCTTTTAAAGGGGCCACACACTCTTTCCCCCGTATCATTCTACAAATATCAAATACTCTACCCAACTTCACAACAATTCTTAAGACAGAGGTAGATAGTTTCTTGCTAGGCAGGGGAATCAAAGGCTATTGGGTAGATGAGAATGTGGAATGCAAAACAGATCTATCATGGTCTGGATGAATGGTGGAGCAATCTTGACGGGCTGATTCTGCTCCTAATTTGTATAATTTGTATGTTCTAAAGACATATATATGTTAATTGTAGGTTTGAATCTTAAGGTTTAATTTAAGGTGAGTAGCACAGACACATGTACGGGAAAGCTTTCAGTAACACAACAGAATAAGAAATATAAAGATATCGTGACGGGGTTTCTTGAAGAGACGAGACAGAAGGCTCATATTGAACATTAACACAAGTTTAAACCAGTTTGGAGGGGTATACACTATATTAATGCCACTGGATAATCTATACTAGCACTTGGGGATTACTGGTTCATATTCCATTATGTGAAATTTCAATTTAAGTAGTTTTTGAGAAACCTGGAATTAAAAGCTAGTCTCAGAAATGGTGCTATGTAACTACTGTCAGTTGTTGTAAATACCCATTGGGTTCACTAATGTCCTTCAGGGATGAAATTTGCTATCCTTAGCTGGTCTCACTTGTGAGTGACTCCAGACCACAATGATGTGATTGACTCTTGACTGTCCTTTGAAAGACCTTGGAAGCCACTCAGTTCAAGTACAGTTTGGAATGGGCAACAAATGCCAGCACCTTGCTTGAAGCACCCTCATAATCTCGATAGAATTAAAAAAAGTTGGGAATAAAAGGCATTGACCTACTCACTACTGTAGCCAAGTGTTTGACAACAAAGATTGTAAAGAGCAGTGGTTGTTACTACAGTTCTGCATTGCTTATCAGTGACACATGCTAGAGCAATTCCATCAGCAAGGAGTCCATGGGGTTTTCCAGGTTCAATGCGAGAATTATTGAGCAAAGGCTAGTGCTCATCTTGAAGTTAGCTTGGGCAGATCTCCTCCACAATAAGCCATAATGGGCTGGTACTGAATCCAAATGGTTTAAAAAAAAAACTCCCCCATTGGTTCCTGTTTTCTCAACTCTCAGTTCAGCATTTTAAGGAAGACAAAGGAAATGCTGCACATGCACTCTGAATCTCTTGTTGAAGTGTGACAGCATTGACATTAATGACAGGGAGTAGCTTACTGTTCAGTCACATGAAATTCCATGGCAGCCCTGAGTAGACGTGATCCTTGAAACAAGCAACAGTGGAACTTCAACTAGGCAAAGTTGACGTTACTCACGTAGTTGAACGGCGCCTTCACATGATCAAAATTTAAAAGGATTTGTTTTTCAAATATTTTATGGACTGGATGTTAGAAACAAGTCAATGTGGTTAGCACTTTTGCTGCTTATTGGAACTGCATTTTGATTTTGAGCAGCAATTGTCGATGACAAAGTGCTATGAAAGTGGATATTCTTTTCTAGAAAAGATATGTTAAATTGATCTAAACAAGGAGCTTGTGCTGCATCATCATGTTGACCAGGACTTCGTCCACTTTCCATTAATATTTGATACAAAATAATTGCTGTTGCACCAATGCACAACTACCGCGTCAAATTCAGTTGTCTTAACTTTCAAATTTTTATCCACCTACACCATAACATTTTTGCCTTTTTGCTTAATTCCACCTCAAAAGTTCTGAAACTCTTAGCTTTGCATGACTTACACACAAAACTTCTGTATTTTGCATCTCATCACTTGGAATTTCAGCTCAAGAAACAGTACAATTTTCCTATTGCCCAAGTTTTCACCAACCTCCATTCCACTGTGTGTATTTCAGTGTTTCCCCGAATAGCGTGTAATTGTAATGTGGCCTTTATACAAAAGGAAACATCAGGAAACTGTTTCCTGATCCATGGAGCGAGAGATTAGCTGGCTGTAAAGATGACCTTTGAGAAGGTGATGAAGTGGATATGGTTTGAGGGAGGCAGCTTCAGACAATGGAAGTGAAGTTACAGGTTTACCTTCTTTCATGTTTCAAAAGTGTGGCACAGCACACAAAGGGCCAGAATCACAGAACAAGGGAAGCAGATGCACATAGGTTGGAAGAAGCTACAGCATTGGGTTGAATAAAACTGTTTAGATGGCTCATTTTGATGATGTAAACTTGATAATGAATATATATCTTTGTAAATTTGTTCACAGGATGTTGGTGTCACTGGCTAGCCAAGCATTTATTGATCACTCCTAATTGCTGTCCAGTATGTAGTAGTGAGCCACCTTCTTGAACCACTGCAATACAGAGGATAGGTATATCCGCTTTTGTGAGGAAGATCTAGGATTTTGATCCTGGAACAGTAAAGGAATGATAATGTAGTTCCATGTTCAGATTATATCTAATATAATTATCAAGTTTTTTTTGCTTGTATGCCAAGAAGGAACAACAATTTGTTTCTGTACATTTGTGTTCATTTTGCAATTCCTATTTAACCTCTAGTTAAGATCGTCATTTCCTGGGATGAAATATCAAAACTTGAGAAGACTATGAGTGTTATCCTGTCCGAGAGTATTCACATTCACAGTCATGGTGAAGACTATTACTTTTCCATGTTCGTACATTTTAATGAAACCTTCCTGTTGATGGAGCAGCTTGCAGACTATGCTGTAAAGCGATTGTTTGACAAGGAAACATTTGAGACTGATGTATCACTCAATGACCCTTTACAAATAACAAGGAGGTAATGGATAAATTTTGCATTCTGGTGTGCATGAGAAATGTTGGCCCCAGGCCGTTTAATTTTTCCTTTAAATATAAGATTCACAACTGATGTGATATTATTAATTGCACATTCTGAAATGTTTGCACTTTTTTGACATTTCTAAATATTTTATCTCCAAATGAAAAGATTAAGAGTAATTTATATTTATAGATGAAATTTGTGACTTTTCTCTTGGATAAACAATACTCACTTAAATCTCCCCAGGAAGACAACTGATATCGGAGATACCAAATCTTTATCCCACTGCTTAGTGCTGCAGTGGAAACTGAAATTGAATAACATTGTATTTATCAAATAATCTTGTGTTGCTCCCCCCCCACCCATTCTGTCTTTTATCATTTGTTTTTGCACCTTTTGGAATATTTTACTGCTCCATTCCCTGGCTGCGTTCTTTAAATTGACAGACTTTGGGCTTCCACCCATTAATCACCTACCTGCTAGGAGGCACACATAACTGGTTTTGATGACAATCATTTCCATCCATTGTGGACAAAGCTTCTGTTTTCCAATTGGTTTCATTCTGTTACCCCTCTTAGCACAGTGCAGATTTATGAATCACAGGCATGAACCCCTTGATAAGTGGCAATTGAGTTCTAAAATCCACAAATGTTTGTCACTGGTGTTCATTGTAGTATGGTGCAAAAGGAACTTTTCCCTTCACTTTATCATCTCAATTGCTTCAGGGGTTGACCAGGCTTTTGATAAGGTCCTGTGTGGGAGACTGATAACAAAGAGAAGGGCCCATGGGATCCAAGGAAATTTGGCAAATTGCTTCCTACTCAGTTAATTGTGATCCAAAGATTTTTGAGGGCCGTTTTTCTGACTGGATGTCTGTGTCCAGTGAGGACCCACATGTCGGTTTTGACTGTTTGTGTTTTAAATAAATGATTTAGACGTGAATGTAGGAAGATTGATCAATAGGTTCACGGATGAGACAAAAGTTGTTGGAGTGGCAAATAGCCTTATTTTCTAGGATAGCATAGATGGACTGGGTCAGATGGGCTGATCAGTGGCAAATGGCATTCAGTCTGGATAAATGTGAGTGATGCAGAACAAGCAAGGCAAGGAAATGCATAATGAACAGAAGGGTCCTGGGAAGCACCAAGGTTCAGAGGGACCTTCGTGTATATGTGCATCAGTACCTTAAGGTATCAGGTTAAGTGGATAAAGTGGTTAAGAAGGTATATGATATACTTGCCTTTAATAGCTGAGACATAGAGTTTAAGAGCAGGGAGGAACTGTATAAAACGTTGATAAGGCCACAGCTAGAATATTGTGTGTATTGCTGGAATCCACATAATAAGAGGGATGTGATAGTGCTGGAGAGGATACAGAGGAGATTTGCCATGTTGTTTAAGTTATAACTAGAGATTGGACAGACTAGGGTTGTTTTCCTCAGGACAGTGGAAATTGAAATGTATAAAATACGAGGGGCATAGGTAGAGTTGACAGGAAGAAACTTTAACTCTTTATGGAGGGGGTCCTTGACCAGGGGACATAGATTTAAGGTAAGGGGCTGAAAGTTTAGAGGCGATGTGAGGAAAAACTTTTCAGCCAGTGGGTGGTGGGAGTCAGGAACTCACTATCTATAAGGGTGATAGAGGTAGAAGCCCTGAATATTTAAGAATTATTTAGATATGGGCTTGTAATGCCAAGGCATACAAGGCTATGGGCCCAATGCTGGAAAAATGGAATTAGAATAGCGAGGTGTTTGCTTTTGACTGGCACGGATGCAGTGGATCAGAGGGCGCTTTTCTATGCTGTAGATCTCTGTGAATGTATGACCACCTCGGCCATTCACACTGATTATTAGGAGCGAAACCAAGTCAAACTGGTTATTGGACCTGCTGACCCTGAGCACTTGGAAGCCATACAACATCACATGTTAAATGTTTGTTCCGCATTTTGTGTCAAAAATGTTACCTAGTTATTCAACTTTGCACTGTTGTATCTGGGATAACAGGAAGTTACTGGATGGGAAACAGGAGGCTTATTTGCAAAGAATGGCACCCATAGGTAGATCTACAATACATGAACTGTTGCAGTTCAAGATAACAGATAGCCGCCATCTTCTGAAGTGCAAGCCTAGTTCACAAAGCCTGCATCTCAGGTGAATGAAAGAAAAATTTTTTGTAGGCAATATGTTGTGATCCAGCTGAGATGTCACATTAGGTGTGTCAATCTGCAGGATTTTCACTTAATAGGCCTCTTTGAGTGTTTAAAAACCAAAAGAACTGCGGATGCTGTAAATCAGGAACCGAAACAGAAGTTGCTGGAAAAGCTCAGCAGGTCTGGCAGCACCTGTGAAGAGAAAATCAGCAGTTAACATTTCAAGTCTGGTGACCCTTCCTCAGAACAGTTTTGAGGAAGGGTCACCAGACCTGAAACATGAACTTTGATTTTCTGTTTGCAGGTGCTGCCGGACCTGCTGAGCTTTTCCAGCGACTTCTGTTTTTGTTCCTATGAGTGTTTGGAGAATTTGCACTGCACGCCAAAAGCACTGACCATTTTAAAAAGAAGTCATCGTTTTCTTCCATGGGTATTAGAGTTCCATTTTAACCTCAATGAGTGGCAGACCTCTCAATTCTTCAAATGAATAAAGGTCATAACCTGAAATACTTTCAAGGCTGACTCTGCTGCCCACCCTTTCATGAGTGTGTAGGGATGTTCTTAAAGGATGCTGGATGGTGATGCCTTCTGCTCTTTGGGTTGTGCTAGCTAGGAAGTAGAATTATGTTCTCGTTTAGATGATTTCTAACCCCTGTGAAATAATTAATGTGAGAGATTCCAGATTTCTCTTCCATTTCACTGGTATAGGGCTTGGCACAGAGTACCCTTTGTGCATTTGTGACCAATCCACTGTTAAACCTAGCTTGTGAGTAAGATGGCATTAGCACCTAAAATTGTGAGCCAATTAAATGCGCCAAAATTAAGTTGCAGTGCTTTACTGCTTTTGTTTAGCTCGTGAATTCAGATCTATTTAGAAAACAGATGATTGAGTTATAGGTGAGGTGACACAAATTTGGAGGGAATTTTCAACAGCTAACACATGACAGTTAAATCCTTGGCCCATCTCCCACCCCAAGGTAGAGGACTCCTGTTTTGTAAATAAACAAAACTGTTTTCCATAGCTTAATGTGGGTTAATAGTCTAACATCCATCTATGTATTCTCCTGGAAAGTACATTGGAACAAATCATGCTATCTTGCATCTGAAGTATTTCCCATGGTGCATGGAATATGCTGCCCGTTGATAAATTGCACAATGAAATTTTGAGCTTGTCTGTCACTGATGTTTTGTCTTGGTTTATTAAATGTAAATTCAAGAAGCAGTTTTCTTTCTGTATTACTTTGGTTGCCTTCCTTTTGTTTTTCTTTCAGAGGGTTGGAGAACCGAGCAAGGAATGAATACTTCACAGCACTCTTCAGACTGCCCAGGGAAGAGAGTCTGGATGACATACTTGACTGTTTCCTTTGGATTCCTTTTTGTCATGCCCATGCATTTGGAAAAATGTTCATTTCAGATCATTACATCTGCTTCAGTAGCCAGGATGGGAGTCACTGCAATGTTATCATCCCGTTGCGGGAGGTAATATTAAATAGGCACAAAAATTAATATTTGATGTTAAAATAATTGGCTGGGTAAATCAAAACCCTTTTCAATGTTCTGTTTGTCATTCACAGTGTTAGGATAAAGAGCCAATTATTAAACACTGAGGTGAGGAGAAATTACTTAAGGGTTGTTATCTATGGAATTCTCTACCCCAGAGGATACCGGACCATGCTTCTTCATGGTCCAGGCTGGGGTGGAAGATTTTCTATCTCTGGACTCGAGGGATAGAGGGAGCAGGCAGGAAGAGGAACATCTATGATTGTATTTAATGATAGAGTGGGCTCTTAAAGACATATAATCTAGTCCAGCTTTTATTTCTTCTGTTCTCTGGGTACTGCTGTGAAAAGGTGAAACACACAAAAACCTGATTTACCGTATTCAGATCAAGAAAGCTTATCATTATGAACCTGTATTGTAGGTTCAGGCTGCACATTTTTCCACTGCTTTCTTTGTAAGGAAGCACCAGGGAGCTGGGCACTTTCTTAGAGCAAAAGGAGAAGAATTCTGTGGGTGAGCGCACTGTGCATTCTCATAATTTTTTTTGGAGATGGGAGGGAATGGGTTAGAAGTTAGAATATAGTGAGGTATTCCATTCCCACATTTATGCTGCTTTAACATTTGCTCAAGAACAATGCTATTCTAAAATTCTCTCACCTGGCAGTGAGTTTTTCATGTTCTAATCTATACCAGTACCACTACTGGCAGAGTTGTAATATCAATTTATACTCGATAAGCTTTGCTTTCATATTGCTCCAGTGTTAGTGTAAACAGGACCACTAATAATTGCATTAGAATAATATCCTATTTTCACAAAAGCTGTGTTGCAAAGTTAAATATGTTAGAGAGTCAGATTGTTGATATATCATATTAATTTTTGTTGTAAAAGAGTAGGTATAACTTTATAGCATGCACTAAGGTTTTAGATATCGTTGTAGCCCTGCTTATGGTTATGTATAAGTAATGCAATTAAGAATCGTTTTATGAGAGAGATGTTATTTCCAATGTTTTGTTGTTTTGCTCCCAGCTCTGTCCACCGTACATGCCATTAGTGTTGAAACGTAGATATCAAATTGATGAGTTCTCTTATAGGTGATAGGCATGGACACGCCAGACAGCTCAGACAAGCACATCTCCTTCAGTACCAGATGTAAAATAACATTCCGCTTCACTGAAATAAAGGACAGCGATGGCCTTGTGAAGAAGTTGGAAGGGAAACTGAACTGTAGTGCAAGTGCACAAGACGCTTTGAGAAATGAAGAGGTAAAGATCTTTGAAAGTTATGAATGTGTATTACTTACAGATGTGGCCCTGAAATTTGATGGTCCCAGTTGTTTTGAGTTGCAGAATGTCTGTTGTGTGAACTATTAGGACTGCAGTTTGTGCCCATTATCTTGCACATCAAGTTTCTTGCCATCATTAAGAGAGTATGCAATGTTCCTGAATTCCCCTCCTGGGTCTTCTAGCATTTGCTGTCAGATTGAGTGAAGCCAAGGGATGACATTCGACGTTCAAAACCCATAAAATGCAAAGACCTTTTAAGACTTTTATTCATAATAGATAATGACCTGGAGATCAAAATATATGGCCATAATATTGTGCAGTATCTCCCTGACTATGGAAAATAGATATATTGCCTTTCATGACCTCAGGAAACCCCAAATTGTCATCCACTGTTTGTATAGGAAATTTAGCAAACAATATGGCACAACTTTGACCAGATAAGATGATCTTGTGATGCTCGATAAGTGATAACATTTTTGTTTAGGACAGTGGGAGGATTCTATATTTAAAAATGTTTGCCATATTGAACTCCTTTGGTCCTTGGAGCATATGGACACCTATAGTGCTGCTAGAGAGGGAGTTCCAGTCATCTGACCCAACAACAGGGAAGCAATGCAGATATCGCTCCAAACCAGAATGGTGTGTGCCTTAGAGGGGGACTTGCAAATGGTGGTGCACTTCCTGCAGTAACCCCACACAATCTTGTATGTGCCTCTAGGGGAAGGCAGTGCATTATTTTAATGTCTCATTTGAAAAATGGGGAGCTCAGCAGTGCGGCACTATCTCAGTACTGCGCTATATGTTCAATCCAGATGAAGAATCAAGGGATAACAAGGTGTAGAGCTGGATGAACACAGCAGGCCAAGCAGCATCAGAGGAGCAGGAAGGCTGACGTTTTGGGCCTAGACCCTTCTTCAGAAATGGGGGAGGGGAAGACGGTTCTGAAATAAATAGGGAGAGAGGGGGAGGGCGTTGCTCGAACACTCTGTTCCTAGTTTTTATTGGGTTAAAACTCCATGTTTCTAGAAAGTTAAATGAAATCCTGCATTTCATGTGAGGTGTAACTTCACAATAGTACATGGTACTACTGTGCATTGGAGGCAGTTCAGAAATGGTTCATTAGGTCGATTCCAGGGATGGAGAAATTTTCTTACAAAGGTTAAATATGTTGGGCTTGTACTCACTGGAGTTTAGAAGAATGACAGGAGGCATTATTGAAAGATACAAGATTCTCTGCAGTCTTGACAGACTTTTCTCCCCCCATTGTGACAGTAAGGCATCATCAAAATAAGACTGAGATAAGGAAGAATTTCTTCTGAAGATAGTGAATCCCTGGAATTCTTTATGCAGCAGGCTGTTGAGGTTGGGTTGTTGAGCATATTTGTGGTTACAATAGACGGATTTTTCATCAGTAAGCGAATTTAGGTCTATGGGGATAAGGCAGGAAAACGGAGTTGAGGGTTATCAGATCAGCTATGATCTCATTGAATTGGGGAGCAGACTTGATGGGCTGAATGGCCTCCTTCTGCTCCGTGTCTTATCGTCTTCATTGTCCTTGCTCCATTGGAAACAAATATATGTACCTGCTGACTGTATCAGTAATGAAATTGAGTCAATACTTAAATTGCATTAAAAGAACATGTAATCTTTTTGTGAATTGTAAGCATGCAATGCATGCAATTTTAGTGTCCAGGCTGTTTTCTATTCCAGCCTATTTTGTTGTCTCACTTTGTTAAAAAGCATGTTTTATTAAGATGTCCAAGCTGATGGTGATTCTGTGGTAATGTTTGCACTATGGCTGAGAAATCGGGAAAGTATATTGATGTAAAATGGCCATTGTTTTCATTCATTAATTTTGTATTGACTTAATTAGGAATGTTTAGTCCTTGTTATCTGTAAATTTGTCTTTCGGAAAATGTGATGTAACTAATTAAGGAATTATTCTAAACATAGTGTGAGGAAATTGAAACAAATGCTGAAAGCACTCAAGCAGCCTCGGTGGAGACCCTTCGGCAGTGAACTTAAAACATTATCTTTGTTATTCTCTCCATAAATGCTGCTAGCCTTGTTGAGTGTTTCTGACATTTTCTGTTTGTCACTCAGATTTGTGGTAGCTATGGTATTTTGTTCTTGAATGAGTTGAGACGAGACTAGATTAACCCATCTCTCTATCTACTAAATTCGCTCTCCCGGTCATACACAGGCTGCTGTTTCAAAAGCAACCCTACCTGACCCAAGCTACATCTTTCTTATTTCTTGGTAGGAATTATGTCCAAAGAATTCTCAGGAAGACAATGCCTTCTTTGGACACGATGGCCCTCCACCTTCATTTGCTGGTGATCAATCCAGTGCACTGCTTAAAGAAAGCAATAAAACCGTTAATACTGAAGCATTGATGAGAGTCTTTCATCCACAGGATGCAGAAAATCTGGATTCAAAAATGGTAAACAGCTCTTCATTCCCTTATGCATTAAATATGTGGGACATGTTGTGGGTGTTTTGTGGTATTGTTTCTGTTGTGGTCTTCAGTTAATGGGTACACATGCATCATTGAATTATATATTTTTTTTAAGTTGCAATATGTTGACTTGCTTGGGTGTAATTTACTCTGGACATTACGACATATTTGTGTGACATTTGAATACCATAAAATTTGGACTAACATTGCTGCACTCAATTATGATGAAAAACCTCTAGGTTACAGTTACTGTTTTCTGACTTTTGTAACTTTATTTGAAATAATGTTACAAAATGAAGTGGTTAGTACAATCAACTTGACTCCTCATTGCTGCCTGCACAGGTAAATATGTATGAGCGTTTAGTATTTTTTCTTGTTATTAGAATTTTTCTAAATTGCAGATGAGTTACATTAATATTTTGATTATTTTATAAAGTCAAATCAATAAAGGATTGAGTTGAAAACCAGCCGACTGGTTAAGTCTTAACGGAGTTCCCAAAGGAGGATAAACCAACAGAAATAACTCGTCCTTGTATTCATCAAGTTGTCATGTGAGAGCTCGGGGTGGCGTAAAATGGACGCATGCACGTATGTGCAGTACAAGGTCAATTTCTGAAATTGAAGTTAGGGCATATTGTACAAGACAAATAAAAGGAAACAGTTTGAAAGTTTTGGCATCAGCTAAAAGGAGTGGACATTCACTAATCAAAACATTGACTATGTGTTATCGGACTAGGGAGAGCTTGACGCCGAGGCTTTCGTAGGGAATTGTGTTCCATTCTCTGGCATTGAAATCATGTTTTATTTCACACATTCGTTCACCAGAGTTGTCAAATCAAGATGCATATTAAGTGAGGCTTGAAGAGAATATGCTAAATTGAAAATTATCTAATAGTTTTCCATCAGTCAGTTGATGTTACCACCCCATTATAACAATGAATGAGCTAAATATCCAGCCATTGATTTTAAATAATTTTTTGTATCTCATGAGTATATTGTGTTCATACTGCATATATTCATACTACAGATTTCTAATACCAAATTTCAAAACATAATTTTGACTCATAGACAAAGTGCATTGGTTATTAGATTTGAGTATCGTGAGGAAGTATATAATATGTTTGTCTGCTATTTGACAGTTCAAGTAATGCAGAGGCTATATAGCAGGAGGAAATCTAATCTCCCTCACGTTGATATTCAACAGCATTACCATCACCAAGTTCCCCGGCTTCCTCCTAGAAGTTAGGGTTTGCTAGAAACTTTTTTTTTTTGGAACAGCCACATGCATTCTGTGTAGCTACAAGATCAGATCAAAACCTGGGAATTCTGGAATGGGTGGCTCACCTGCTAATTCCCTAAAGCCTCTCCATTATTAACAAGGGGCCAGTCAAGGCTGTGAAGCAGTACTCCCACTCGCTTGGATGAGTGATGAGCTCCACTAACATTTAAACTTAACACCTTTCTAGTGAAAGTGCCCCATCCATGATCTTGAACGTTTACTTCCTCCAACACTGATACAGGATGGTTTTACCTTTGAGCTACCCTGCAGTAACTTTGCAAGGCTCCTTTGTAATACGTTTCTCTTATTCTTCAGTGGGAAGTGGGTGGTGTTGGTGAGACCAATGTTTATTACCTATCCCTAATTGCCCATAAAATGGTGGTGAACCACCATCCTGAACTGCTGCAGTCTATGCGAAATGGGTACATCCATGATATTGTTCAGACGGGAGTTCCAAGATTTTGATCCAGAGCCAGGAAAGGAGCAGTGATATAGTTCCAATCTTCCAAAACTCTTAACACCTAGATAACCAAGGGCAGTAGGTGCAAGGGGAGTCTGCTATCAGCAAATTAAAAAGCTTCCTGCTTTTAACTTGAATTCCCGTTCCTGCACAGGTGCTGGTGAAAATCTCTGGAACTCCCTCTCTAGTAGGACCATGAATGTAACAGTTTAAAAGGACACCTCACCACTTCCTCCTCATAGCCATCATTTAGGGATAGGCAATAAATCCTGGCCTTGCCAGTGACACTCCCATCCACTGAGTGAACTGAAAAGAAATACATGACAGACCTTCTCTTCCCAATATACTCAATTAAAGAAAATATGTGCCCCTAGGCTAACGTGGTGCTTGGTGTCTTTTATTATTTGATGTTAGAATCTGAAGGCATTGATACTGTGCTGTTTTTCTTTGTGTAAATTTTACAATGTGATTTTCTTTTAAATAATTGATCCTTTTCTTTTTATGACTAATGCTGTTGGACTGGTTTTTGTAGTGATATGACGCCACATGAATAACTTATAATGGACATAAAGTAAACTTTAGCTCATTTGCTTGTACGATTCGTAGGTGTCACCTTGATAGTGCATATAACTCCAGTTAAAAGTCAGAAAGGCATCTTTCTCATTAACATTTGGGTAGAATCCAGAGTATATAATTGGCATACCAGTGGGATATACCACTGGTTCCATCTGGGCTCAGAAGTACTGCTGAAAACCTAACACACTTAACAGGATAGAAATACAAATCTGAGTTTCTCAAACCCAGTTAATTTTATGCACTTTCTAAACCTGCTGATGAATTAATAGAATTTGTGGGTGGATGAAAATGAGTTCTTGTTTGTCCTTTTGAAGGATCCTGAATGGAGCTGGGTATAAATATTGTTGTGCCGAGGATTTTTTGTGAAGAATTTCAGAATTACTGACCTTAGTTAGATGCAGATGCTGTGGCTTATGGCCGTTTTTCATATTATTTGATTTACTTGACAGTCTATAATGGATTTATTTTATATGGGGCAAGATTTTCCAGGATGAGAATTGCTACAGCAAGGAGGGGAAAAAAAATTAGATTGTTCCATAAACTATGAAATGGACTGTTGGGAATTAACAGAGCACCTGGTGTCCTTTTGACAATGATTAAGTAGCCATCTATGCTAATTACCATTAATTTTCAAGACAGTATGCATCACCAGTCTTTCCTGGCACAGACCATCCCGCAATGGAAAAGATGCCAAAGAAAATAATCATAATTATTCCCATCACTTGAAACCTTCAAGCCCCATATTTCAGATTGTTTATCCATTTATGAACTTCAGTTATTAGGGCTACTTTTTCATCGGGTCCTACCTGGTTTTGTTAGCCTCACCTATATTTAGTTTTTAATCATGCAGATGTATGTGACTGCAAAAGTTACAATTCAGATCAATCAGTTAAACATAACTACAACTGTCCCAGTGGAGACCTCGTGTTAAACTGCCCAAAGCCTATATTACATTGGGTGGAGCTAATGCAACTTCAACATTAACTCTTTTGGAATGGTTACCTTATACAATGTGACTGTTGTCTATTGATATTTGGAACTATTGATCCCAAAAGCAGCATTCTAGGTTTGAAGCAATATGATGGAGTGGCTTCATTTTTTTTGTTTCTGAATAGAATAATCCAATAATATGTTAATTTAATCAATAGAAATAGACTGCAAATTAACATGGCAGATTGGCAGATGTAAATAGTGATTTTTGCAATCATATTCCCACTATATGTATGATATGGATCTTGCATGATCTTACTTGGCATTGCCATGCAATAATTCAGCATGTATTTGGTATAAGAGGTGCTTACTACAGCCAGAGGCAAATCTGTTGCTCACTGTTGTTGAACTTGGTATGTGTTGAACCAGAGTTTAAGTGCCAGTAAAAATCAGTTTTAGTGTATTTCACTTTTTTCAAAAATGGCAACAGCATTTAGATTAAGCAATTAGGCGAGTACATTTTTATTTCCACTTGTAATCATGTAATGTTAGTATATTATCTCATTCTGTCTCTGTTTACCCTGAGTGACCTTAAGACCTTCCAGCTCAATGATGTACAAGGCTGCATTGATTACACCAGTTTCTACAGGAATGCTGACTAATTATAGCTTGTTCAGATTTCCATTGTACGAGATTCAGAACAGTAAATCGATTCAATCCTCTCATCTATATTTCTGTTACGGTTTCATCAAAATATGCAATTAAGAAGTGTGATGTGTTTTGCTATAGAGCGTTGCTTAGGAAAAATATTAATTGAATTTTTTTTGGATTATGGGAGATGGAAAATGTAATAAATTGAAAAATATCTGACTATGGTTTTAAAAAATGGTTAAATGGGTATCATCAGTTTTTACAGGTAGATAACATTGCTGTGGGCAGAAAAATATTTTCTATTATCAATACAAGCAAAGAGAACACTAAATATATATCTCCCCTGCACTGTGTTCACACAATGTCATTACAATTACACAACTTTTTTTTTCTTTGATGCTTTTCCCTCCTTGGCTGATGCTTTCTAACTATAAAGCTGAAAATAAATCAGAAGCTTCTATCTCATTGAGGAGGCTTCAGACTAATCCCATCCGACAACCTGCTCAGAAAAATTTGCTCACATTTGACTGCTCTGACCAATTACACTGCAACAGCTTTCTAAAACCGTTTACAACATCCTAAAACAACAGTATTCTAAATAAAACAACCCATAACACTCTTAAAAACTAATTTGTCCTATCTCCCAATGTTCACAGATCTGGATCCTCATCTTTGCAAAAACCAGATCATTTCCCCCTTGGCCTATACCCTGCCTGTGTATCTAATTTCTTTGAATTTTTTTGGATAGTCTATCTGTCTGTAATCAATTGGCAAAAGTGTTACCTCTCCCCACCTTAAGTGGCAAAGCTGAAATGTTCTGAATCTTATTTAAGAATTAGGTCATTTTTAATTTGTCCTTTTGTCATTTGCAGTTGAAAGAAAAGATGAAAGTACAATCGTGGAACATTCATTTTGTGGAGTATGGTCACGGAGTTTGTATGTTTCGCACTAAAAAGACTCGAGATCTAGTCATGCGTGGAATTCCAGAAGCATTAAGAGGAGAACTTTGGTTATTGTTCTCAGGTGCGTATTGTTAATGGTGTGATTTCAAAACCTATCTTATGCAATGCTTCACGTTTAGTAGCTCTAAAGTTTTCAGAAATAAACAGGAAGTCTGTCCCTTTTTTTTTGGAAGTGCAGTGAATGCCTACTAAATGTATATGGCATAATTGCATTCATTTTAAAGTACGGGCCAATAAATTCCATTGCCTTTTCAACTCTTGGGAGGGCAGTGATTGCGATGACAGGGTGTCATTTTTAACAGGTAAGAACAAATTGTTTTGCTGGATGCATAATTAAATTTGGAATAAAATGAAGTAGAGTCACTTAGCAGCAACTTTTACATTTAACTATGGTACTGAGCCTTCGCAGGATTCGATCCAAGTATTAGCCGCTTAGGTGGGCAACTAAATCTAAGTTAATATGGTCTATGTGTGCAAATGAGGACCTATTTACATGGATTCAACTTTGCATTTAACTTGGGATTTAACGCACCTTACACTGTCGCTTGGGCCTGGAAATAGAAAAGAACAAAATTAAATGAGTCCTACCATTGATTCAGACTTGGCTTCACTAACAACTTCCACCTGCCCTCAAATTCACTTGGTCTAACTCCGATATCTCCCTCCCCTTTCTTCACCTCGCCATTTCCATTTCTGGCGTCAACTTACAGACCGACATTTAGTATAAACCCACAGACTCCCATGGCTACCTGAACTGCACACCTCCCACCCTGTATCCTGCAAAAGCTCCATCCCATTTTCCCAATTCCTCCATCTCCGTCACGTCTGCTCCGACGAGGAGACGTTCCACTCCTGAGCATCCCGGATGTCTACCTTTTCCAAACAGCGCTGTTTTCCTCCCTCTGTCATCCAGACAGCCCTCCACCACACCGCCTCCGTTCCCAGCTCCACATCTCTAAACTATTGCGCGCCCCCCCCCCTCAAAAACGTAACAAAAATAGGGTCCCCCTTGTCCTCCCTTTCAACCCCACTAGCCTCCACATCCAACATATCATCTTCAAACACTTCCGCCAACTCCAATTAGACCCACCAACCGGAACATCATCCCAACCCTCTTTGCCTTCTGCAAGGACCAGTCCCTTTGCCACTCCTTTGTTCACGCCACACTCCCCAACAAACAATCCAACCCGGCCGGTACCTTCCCCTGTAACCATAAAAGACGCAGCACCCGCCCGCACCCCAACTCCCTCACCTCCATCCAGGATGCTAAACAGTCCTACCAGGTGAGACAGAGTTTCACCTGCATCTCCTCCAACCTAGTCTACTGCATCTGGTGCTCCCGATGTGGTCTTCTCTACGTCGGTGAGGCTAAACGTAGATTAGGCAACTGTTTCACCGAGCATCTTCGCTTGGCCCGTAATGGCCAGCCTAACCAGCCGGTCATCACCCATTCAATCTCACCCCCACTCCCCCTCCAACATGTCCATCCTCAGCCTCCTCCAGTGTTGCAGTGATTCAGAACTCAAATTTGAGGAATAACACCTTATCTTCCACCTGGGCACCCTCCAGCCCGGAGGACTCAACATCGAGTTCTCCAATTTCAAGCGACCTTTCCAAACATTCCCCGCTCCCCTTCCAGCCCCAGCGCCTCCCTTCCATTCCACTTACTGACCCTCCCTTCCAGCCACCAATTGGATTCATCCCTCCCATCGACCAACCAGGTCGTACCTGTTACCAGTATCCACCTATCACCACCGTTCCACCTCCAGCTGCACCCCCACCCTTTATCTGCAGTTCCCCCTACCACCACATCGAGCCCTGAAGAAGGGTAATACCCGAAACATTGACTTCACCTTTCCTCAAGATGCTGCATGGCTTGCTGTGTTCTTCCAGCCTCCTGTTTGTCTACCTTGGATTCCAGCGTCTGCAGTCTTTTTGTCTGTAATCTTTGCCCCTTCTGTTGATTCAGATTTGGTTTCCCCGGCCAAGCCTACTTGTGTTTAAAAATTAGGGGTCAGTCTTTTAGGACAAGGATGTGTAGAATTTTTTTTCCCCCGAGGGCTGCGAGACTTTGAAACTCTCTGCTTTATAACATGGTGGACGCTGGATCATAGAATGTTTTAAAGGTGAAGTCGATAAATTCTTATTAAGCAGTGGAATCAAAGGCTATTACAGTGGCTGGGAATGGGGAATTTGAAACAAACAGGTCAGCCATGATCTTATTGAATGGCAGTAGGCTTGCGAGGCCAAATAGCCTGACTCCTGCTCTTAATTAGTATGTTCGTATACTGCCCACCACCTTCAAGTAAATATAGGAGGGCAAACTTCACTCAAATTTTGTGTTAACTATTTTCCTGTCATCTGCAGTGCATTTGGGATAGTTGGCTGAAGTGTTTTTTAATGAGCAATTATGAAAAAACTAGAAATTACGATGGAGATGATGTAATACTTGATCATTCTAACCAGGAATTCCGAAGTGTTTGTGAATTTAATTGCTTTGGATAGACTATTATATCAGACTATTAGGTTTTTCCAGAATTGATTCAGCTGACACAATTTTTTTTTTTTAATAAGAGCATTTTGTTTTAGTTCAACACAACAAGAGGAAAACTAAATACTGCAATTCATGTATTATGAATGTAGTATCCAATGCTACCTTGCTCATTCTGGCCCATGGCAACTTAACATTTGTATGTTTGTCAACTCATAGGTGCAAATAATGATATGGCTTCTCATCCCGGCTATTATACCGAGTTAGTGGAGAGGTCGATGGGCACCTGTTCCTTGGCCACCGATGAGATAGAACGTGATCTGCATCGCTCATTGCCTGAACACCCAGCGTTCCAAAGTGATACCGGCATTTCTGCACTGAGGAGAGTGCTCACAGCCTATGCTTCGCGGAACCCTAAAATAGGCTACTGTCAGGTTTGGAGCTGCTACCTTACTGCCACATAGTTCAATAATGCTTTATCACTTTAAATTATAATCATTTCAGCCAGGGTTCTTTAGTATTATCAAGTCAACCATAAGCAAAGTTTTGAACTTCATCCTGCATAAATTTAGGTTGTGCCTTGAACAAAATACTGTTGACTACAGATTTTGGGAATGGTGGAGTTGAGGGGGAGGAAATTTGTAATTCAGTTTTCTTTATTCTTATCTTCAAACAGTTTTTATTTCTGCATCAGGTACCATTTTCTGAAGTATCTTGCGACCTTTGTCTCGCACTGAATATATATCTAAAGTGGTTGAGGCTCATGTTTTACTCTGTCCGTACGTATTTACTTCTAGCAGGTTTGATCCCTTTAAGGGGTAAAGGTGCTTTTAGGATGCCATGCCTGGAAATGTGAGCCAAGTTAACCCTTTGTTGCAGATTCATTAATCTGATATCTGAGCCAAGCTTTTTTGCAATTCTCTGGTTTATAGTTGATAATTGATCATCTAGCCTGGCTTCAATAGTGTTATTTTTGAGGGATAATTAGACCTGGATGAGATTCCGCCCACTCAAATGATTCTGTAAGCCAGAGTCCCATAAGTAGGGCATTCTAACCAGTGCTATTCGTGAATGAATTGGGAAGTTTCAATAGTACATGTAAGTAGTTCCTAATCCTGGCTGTCCCTGCTGTGTCTCAGCATGTGGGATAGTTCGTGTGGAGACTCGTACAGTTCCATATCAAGTAAATAGAAACTTTTAGATTTTTTCAGCAGTTTGGGATGGTGGGCTTTCATGTGTTCAGTATCTGCTGGAAAGAAAATAAGTTTTTGTTGTATTGTGATGTAGATTTTAGACCAGGAACTACAACGTTCAAGATAGTTACGTGTCACAACAATATGTAATGTTTGACTGGAAAGGTACCTGTCTTATCATCACTGACTACACTGCCTACACTGCACAGAGAAAGTATTTTCAGTCATTCAACTATGTTTTGTGTTACAAAAAGACATTAGAAAGACATTAGTAAACACATTACTCAGGCTACATGTAGATCTGTGATATTGTAGCCTGAAAGTAGATAGTCGTGTTACTAAAATTCAAGACATCAGTCTTAACAAGAACCTGACTTTGTTGTAAATGTTATGCAGGGTCTCATATAGAAAACTGTAAAGCTTTCAAATGCTACAAAGTCTTCATTTTACTTCAGTTTCTGTACAAAATAAATGTATACTATAGTACAATACTGGAAACAATGCATAAATTATACTAATTCACAAATGAATCAATCGATGTAAGTGGCTATGGTATTGAAATGGCAACACTGGAACATTTCTAATAACCCTCAACCATGAATTCACAATGGCACCTTGATGCATTCCAAGCTATACTGTAGAATATGTGGGTGACTCACCATCGATGGGAGAGCTGCAACAAATAATCAAACAGATGAGAAACAACCAAGCCTGCAGCACTGATAATATTCCAGCTGAGGTCTTCAAAGCTGGTGGGCTTTTGCTTGCATCAGGGCTCTGTGAACTCAGCTTGGGGATTTGAGCCGAAAGCGTACTCCCTTTCTGCAAAGTACTGCAGTGGGTATTTGACGATGAAGACCTTTGCAGTTCTACAAAAGTCCTTGTTCACAGAGGAGTTGTTGTCACTGCGCTCATGGACTGCAGTGAGACTTGGACCAAATATCAGCAACAGATAAGAGCCCCAGTGAAATACAGCAGCAATTCCTGCATTATATTCAATGGGAGGACCAAAGAACAAATGCTAGTGTCCTCCTTGAAGCCAGCTGTGCGCGCACACATGCAAAACATCTGTAAGATCATTTACAATTGATTGGACAATGTGTCCAGATGAATGAAAAGCATGTCCCCGCCAAATCCTGTCATAGATTTTTTTTAATTCTTTGTGGGACATGAGCATCAGTGGTAAGATTGTTGACCATTCCCTTGGACTTGAGAGGGTATTAGTGAGTACTTTTCTTGAACTGCTGCAATCCATGTGCTTTTCTTCTTGCACAATGTTACTAAGAAGGGAGTTATAGTTTAAGTTTTTGTCCCAGCAGAAGTGAAGTGACAATGTATTTCTAAGCCAGGTTGCTGCATGACTCTGAGGGGCCTTTGCAGGTGGGGGGATTCCCATACATTTATTGCCTTTGGCCTTCAAGTTTGTATGGGTTATGGGTTTGGTCTGTGCTATCAAAGGAGGGTTTGGGAACTTCCTACAATACAATTGGTGGTAGAGGGAGAGAGTATTTAAGTTAGGGTTGGAGTAGTAATAAAGCAACATGCTTTGTTTTGGGTGGTGTCAACTTCCAGAATTATATGGACCAATGAACTTTCCATACTCCAAACCACCCCCATCATTGCTAAGCCTGAGTATGTTCTGTCCAATTATCGTGTTAATGGTAATTAGTCTGGTTTGATGTAATGCTTGAAAGACTTGTGTACAATGCATTTCTTAGTTTTTTTTGGCAGGGCTGGTTATATTGATAATTGCAAGTTATTGTAGGCTGTGCTGTGATGTAATGGCAACTTCTTTCTTTCACTTCACTTGCCTAGGCTATGAACATTTTGACATCTGTTTTACTGCTTTATGCTAAAGAAGAAGAGGCCTTTTGGTTGCTCGTTGCTGTGTGTGAAAGAATGCTGCCAGATTACTTCAATCGACGAATAATTGGTAAGATTTTAATGTTGAAGGTGTATACATGATTTTGGGATGGGGTTCTGTGTTGCTGAATGGGACCATCAGACAATCAGCACTGCAGCACTGTTGCCCAGCTTCAAATTGCAGTTTGTCCAAAGAGGCTGTGATGCAAGAATGCAGGATAGTTGTTTATAATCTTATTCAGCTTTTAAAATATTCATGCTCGGTTTGAGCGGTGTGCTAATTTTGGGATGTACAGTAAAATTTATTTGCTAAGTCATTTAATTGTTTCACGAGCGTTTTTGAAAATATTTTTATAACCAGTTGTCTCTTGTATTTTCATTGATAAATTTGGAACTGTTGAAATTTTCAGTGTTTGCCGGACGTTCGTTGGTGATGAGTACTGTCTGCGATTCCTTTCTATTTCCCATTTTTAAACTTTTCCACCACCCCTGAAACGAAATGATGAAATTGTCCTATTCTGTACAGTTATTCTAATTTCTTGTGCTGTTGTTTTTGCATCTCTGCTCCACTTGGCTTGTTCTGAACGATTGTGAGACATAGTCTGTGGGATTTCACAGGGGCAGGGTGGTGAATAGTGTCAAATCATGCTGCTCATTTAGAGAATTAGTGGTGACAACATGGGCAGAATGGCCATCTCCTGCACTGTAACAGTTCCGTGGTTGAGTGTTAGGAGCAATGTATAACTTAAAGCTTAATTTCTGTTTGTATTTTGGAGAAAGTGGAGATGTGATTTTAGATTTGTTCTTATGAGCTTGTTGTCGAGGAGTCTGGAAGTCTGTTTGTACACATGCGTTCTTCATGAGGTTTTACAACTGTGGTGAAGAGATGGGGTTCAACAGTTTGTGAAAACAAGTAGAAAACAAACCTGTACTGTTGCTTAGCAACAGAGTTCCAGGGACTCGGGCTGAAAAATCTAGAAGCGTTTTGATTAGTGTGTGTTGTGGCAGAGAGTGGAGTCAGGAATATTACATATTCCCTAGTAAGAAATCCTGCAAAACTGCTAGAAGCTGAATTTATGGAACTTGTGTGTTTTCTCGGAAGTCAGAGTAATAGTGAGTTTATTTTGCAGTTTGTTTTAGGTTTCTTGGACAGAGATAAGCTGAACAGAATTTATCACATTGAAAACGGTTACAGCGCTCAAGCCTGAGTAATGAAATTGGTGTGAAGGTTATATATTTGAAAGTTTTGGTATTTATATATCTGTTACTCCGAGAAAATAGGACAAGAGGAGGCCATTCAGCCCTTTGAGCCTACTCTGCTATTCAATATGATTATGGCTGATCATCCAACAATGTAGCCTGTTCCCAGTTTCTCCCCATATGCTGTGTAAGTTAGGTGGATTTGCCATGGGAAATGTAAAGTTGCAGGAAAAGGGTAGGGGAATGGACCTGGTTGGCATCCTCTTCAGAGGGGCAGTGTGGGCTTATAGGGCCTAATGGCCTGTTTCCACATTGTAGGGATTCTATGATGATTCTATGATTCTTTCAGCCCCAAGAACTATGTCTAACTCCTCTAGAAAACATTTAATGTTCTGGCCACAACTCCTTTCTGTGGCAGAAAATTCTGTTTGTGGTGTGTTGCTGCGTTAAAAGTGATAATGTGCTTTTTTAAATTCATTGAAAGGAATGGGGTTATTCCTGGCTGTGCCAATATTTATTGCCCATCCTCAATTACTCAGGAGGAGGTAATGGTGAACTGCTTTCTTGATAGACTGTGGCCCTTTAAGTGTAGCAACATCCACAGTACTATTAGGGAGGGAATTCCAGGATTTTGACCCAACAACGATGAAGTAACAGTGATAACAAGGTATAGAACTGGATGAACACAGCAGGCCAAGCAGTATCAGAGGAGTAGGAAGGCCGACACTTCGGGCCTAGACCCTTCTTCAGAAAAATTTTTCTGAAGAAGGGTCTAGGCCCGAA